ATATTATATAGTATATACCATCTTCACAGAGATGTATTCTTCGCTCTGGACGACCGCGGGTGCCTCTGGTGCTGGGGGAGTCCTGAGCTGCTTCGCGACCTACTATTTATCGTCCTCAGTCCTCCGCCAGAAACGTCATCAGGCGACCTGAAGAAGGCTGAAGGAGTGGCGCTGACAAGGCCTTCTTCAGGAGAAACGAGAGGCTTCGGTGGGAAAATAGTCTCAGGAAAGAAGGAAGTATCAGACTGGGATTCATTTAAGGAGGAAAAAGAACCTCTGAAAGCACAGTAGTATCTGGGTCAATTTTTAGGCAATGTCTGGGTCCATTTTAAGCAAGTTGGATCCATGTTTAGGCAATGTCGGATCCATTTTAGGCAATGTCTGGGTCCATTTTAGGGAAATGTATGGGGTCCATTTTAGGCAATGTCTGGATCCCATTTAGGCAATGTTTGAATCCATTTTAGGCAATTGTCTGGGTCATTTAGGGCAAGTCTGGGTCCTTTTAGGGCAATGTCTGATCCATTAGGCAAGTCTGGATTCCAATTTAGGCAATGTCTGGATCCATTTTAGGCAATGTTGAATCCATTTTAGCAATGTTGGCTCCATTAGGCAATGTCTGGATCCATTTTAGAAGTCTAGATTGCTTGCTCAATTCAGTAGGGGCATTGTATTTGCTTGCATTCTCGTATGTGAATAGGTAGGGGTTTTGGATGATGTTATTAGTTTAGAAATGATATTTTGGTACAAAACTGTCATTACAAAGAGAGAAAAACATTACAAAAAAAATCATTCAAAAATATATACATATAAAACTACACACATGTTATGTGTGAAGTTTTTGACTGATAGAATTTGTTTAGAAAAATATGTCTATTGATAATTCTTCCAATTTTAAGGTTTTTAAAAAATTATCATAATGTATATGTAATTATCTATCAATAAATATATGCAAGTGGTTTGTGTGTCAAATTTTCTCAGACATATGGATTATATTTTTGCAGTTGTAACTCGAAGAAAGTGTTGATTCGATGTGTTTATTTAAGGAGGAAATTCGTTTCTATTTATATATATTTCTGTAAACTGTCATTGTGTTCACTGTGAGAATGACAAGCGTATGTGGACACACACGCACACACACACACACACACACACACACACACACCAAACACAACCACACACAACATGCACAGCACGCACGCACGCCACGCAACACACACACTTACCACACACACACTTACACACACACAATCACACACACACACACACACCACATACGAACTCTATAGGGTTGACATGGATTTAACCTCCCCCCAAAAAAAATAAAAGCCTTGATTCTACTACTAGTTTGGGCCTCTGAGAGATTTTATCCCCTTCATCCCTTTTAAAACGTCTAGGGACGAGAAGGGGGGGGGGGTCACGCCGTAGATTTTTTTCTCGCATTCATGAATAATATAGAAGGGAATTAATACGGATGAAGTGTTAATTAAGATGAAGATTTTTAGATAATGATTAAGGTGACGATTAAGGATAATGATTAAGATGAATTATAATAATAATGAGTGATACATTATGTATATCTAAGTATCATTAAGAGGAATAAAACAGACGAAGCGAAAAGCGGCCGTTTTAGATTATCGATAATGATTAAGATGAATATTATAGATAATGATTAAGATGAACTATAATCATGATGACGTTATAATTATAATATCTAAGTATAATTAGGAGGGAATAAAACAGACGAAGCGAAAACGAGCGGCCGTTCGCGTTCGCCTAAGCCCCGCATGCGCATCACGAACGCCGATCAGCTGATGGAGGTAAACAAACAGCGGCGGCTGGAGGAAGGGGGCGAAACAGCTCCAAGAAAGAAGAAAGAAAAAGATCCAGGGTATAAGACTAGAAAATAGTATAAAAACCCTATTAAAAGAAGAAGAAGAAGAAGAAGAAACAGCTCCAGGGAATATAGACTTCAAAAAGCTAAAACCCTATAAAAGAAGAAGAAGAAGAAGAGAAGGTGGCGAAGCATACAGTGCCAAGATTTAATTCACACAGAATCAATTATTACAATCACTAAATAAAATAAAAATACAAACTCCTGCAGACCAACCACAGCGAGAAGTATTCCCATTCGAGACACAAAAAAAATCTCCAACAAAAAGAACAAGAATAATAGCTATAATCTCAAAAAACGAAGACCCACCAAGAGAAATCCAGGAGTATTAGACTATACTATAGAGTCATTAAATCCTATAAAAGAAGAAGAAGAAGAAGAAGAAGAAGAAGAAGAAGAAGAAGAAGAAGAAGAAGAAGAAGAAGAAGAAGAAGAAGAAGAAGAAGAGGAATGATGTCGAAAGCAGCTCAGGTTATTACGGAATTTCTGGGGAAGAAGATGTAGCTTTACCGACAGATGTGAGGGCATGTCACTCATTCCCGTCCGAAGGACAAGCGACGGGGGAAGGGAACAGCAGCCCCCGAAAGGACGTATTCAAGCAATGAGACTATTATTATTATTAGTATATTTATTATTATTATTATTATTATTATTATTTAAGGTAAGGGAGATTATTGAGTACAATTCTCCTTGAGGGAATGATTAGGTTTGTATCTTTGGGATAGAGTGGCAGTGTTCTTGGCATTTTTTGTGGTTCTTAAGGAGTCAGTTCGGCGGGTATATTAGCAAAATACCCGAAGTCAAATACGTCAAATCTTGGGAGACCACAATCAGCCGGGAGGCAAGGCACTAGTGTAAATTACCGGTTCTGCTGTCATTATAATTCTATGTTTGATGATATAATGTGCATATTTGCCTATAATTGTCTTCAGGCTTTCAGATCTCTTGAAAGTTCATCTAATCTAGCATGACAAATATCCCTTAGGCACTTTTGTAATAAGTTGACCATCATAAAGTAATTAATTTGTCCTTTAGAACGGTACTAATGGAATTCGATTTTTCTTCTCAGAACAAAGTGTTATGATGAAGGAATCATTCAAAGGGAGAAGAGGAGTGAATACAAATTTGAACCGTCTTTAATAATGAAAGCGTCCAAAGTCACAGTGATGCCTGTAAAAGAAATGACTCCACCAATACAGAAACACTTTGGCAACGCTGACGATGAAGCTGGAAGTCTGGGTTGTCTAAATGCAAAGGATATTGAGAGCTGTAAAAGTCTTTGACTGGTGTGCTGAAAAAATATTACTAGCAAATTATTGTCAAAAGCTTTTACAAATGACATCAGGCTGGTAGAAGAAGAGTATTCTATATATAAGTACCGGCCGGGGCGCTAGCCATGTGCAACGAGTATGGAAGCTGACAGATGGCCATGAGGTAAGTGTTTTTACTAGGAATGGAAGGGTAGATGGTGGAAAGGTAAAAGCAAAGGAATGGATGGAAGGGAAAGAAGAATATGCCCGCATGTAGGGAAGTATCCTCGCGTATTTTACAAATACACTTTATAGATATCTGCTTTTTGATATAGTTGTTCATTAATTAAAAATTGAAAGAGGATAGAAAAAAAAGGTTGTATATTGTAATGTGTGAGTGTGTTTGCGTGTGGTGGTATCTAAAAATGTTATTATAAACATTAGTAACAGCCAAATAACGGTAATTGTAAAATATTTTCATAAATCAAGGAAAGGGTGAATGGGCAAGACAGGCGGTACTGTAACTGGCTCATGGTGGTTAGTACAAGTGTTAGCCAATCTAGTGTAAACAAACATTAAACAAGTAACAACTCCAACAGTGGCATGGTGTGGACATACGTGCCCCCATGCCCATCAGCAAGGGTTAATTTCAATCATATTTCCTTCCTCATTCTGCAGAAGAATCATGAAATAGAACGAAACATTTATAAACTCTGTTTTATCTATTTTAAATCTTTTTTCGGTCTGTAGAAGACTTTCAGATACAATATATGCAGAGGATAGATAGTTAGATGGCTTGAATTATAGATTATAGGATTTGTTTTGTAATATGTTATCACAGTATTGTGCTGAGGCCAGTTTAGCACATAAATATTGCGAGATGACTTATCAATGAGGAACATGTTGAGCTGTACTTGAGGATGTGTTACCTTGCTGAATTATCCCGCTGACCCGTGGGGAGTGATTTCTTTATGCTACTCTTTTAGATTTCATATGTTTGTGCGAAAAACTTGGAAAGTGTATTTATGACTGGAAGTTTGGAGTTAAAGATTTGTTAGTAGCGTAAGACAGATTTTATGAGTTTAAGCAAAATGTGAAGGAAAAATGTTAGGAAAATGGTTTTAAGTATAAGCTTAACATACGAAGCAGTTTATATTTTTTCATACTAGATAGCTTTAAGATTGAATTATAAGAAAATAATGGTAAGGGAAAAATGGTTAATGTACAACATATGACAAACCACGGACGCTCCTCAGTCAACTAAAAAAAGGCTGAAGTTGGAGCCAAACGTGAAGTTCCTGGAGCTCTTCCTGCTGCTGTTTAGGCTGGCGGGGAGACCTAGGGGGTGCAACCAGCACCTGGCTATTATGAAGGAGCGAGACATTCCCATCACCGAGACCACATTTTCCTCTCTCATTGTGGCTCACGGAGTCAATAAGTAAGTTGGCTCTTAGAAGATGCATCGTATTAGGCTGTAAACTGCATCAGTTGTCGGCAGTTCGTGCATTGTTGTATATATCTTTTAGATAGGATGAGAGGGACTTCTTTTATGTGAGATAGTTTTTAAAGAAGAGTGATTTTTTTTTTCTTTTGAAATATCTGTGTATCCTGTAGTTCTGTCTCTGTATTTTATTTGATTATTGTATAATTAATCATAGGTCTCTCTATAAGTAGAGCTCAAATAATATAAGCAAATATAAAACAGAATGAATATTAATTTTAAAAAAATAAAGCTTAAAGAAAAAGAGACGAACAGTAAAAGAAAAAATGATATAAATTCACTGTTATGAAATGATTTTTAATGGAGCAGTTATTTCCTTCATGAGTATTACAGATTTTCAAATTCAGTGTGATTCTCA